TGTCTCAGTTAAAGAGTTCCAGTAATATTATAGGAAAAGAAATGTGGATATTCAATGATCTAGTGTCTGTTTCCAACACTGGAAATCCTTATTAATTTAAGTAAGTATTAATCATTAGGATTATTGCACAAGCTTCTAGGAGGTTGGTTTCCATTGGACTGTTCATGCAGGAGCAGTCTGATCACACTTAGCTCTCTATTAAATATGTTACATCTGTGCTACATCTCTCCACAGATTTGGTTTTAAAACTAGAGGCAGTAGTAGTTGCTTCTGGGAACTAGTAATATTGAGAATTATCCATCAACGGGGATCAGATCCAGAAAATCACATACTTTAACTGCATCTTTTCCCACCTCCAAAATGGTCCTTCCCACAGAGCTCTCCTGTTAAAAGCAGAGCAGTGACACTACTCGTCACCACATGTCTGTCACCCACAGGTATGTCAGAGCTTTTACAGTCAGGGCTCAGCAATCTCTATCATTATGAATTCAGGCTCCTGAGACACAAGCTAGAATAATTACTGCTACTAGCTTTGCTCAAACGTGCCTTCTGCCACACTTCCTACAGTTAATTTACTAGAAGTTCTCCTACATTATTCCCATACCCACAGGCTGCTCATACAGGAATTTCGCACAGTGGGGATAAATGAGGAAGCTGTCAGATCAGGTTTATTTATCACTTTATTGGCAGGGTTTTGCCTGAGATGCTTCAGCAGAACATCACATTAAAACCGCGGGAAGCGAGCTCTCTTCCCAGCGCTGCTGTGCCTGTGCCCCGTCCATGGGGCCACTGCTTCTATGTTGCCATCCTCACAAAGAAGGTAACTCAGGGGAGTCCTCCAGACTCCCTGACTCAGTTTCAAACCTGGTGTTCTGGCCCAAGCACCAAGTAGGAAAGGTTCTCATTTTTAACTGCTTTTATATGGACTTTTCAGAAGTAACAAAATGAAGTGATTTATTCCTGCTGTCTTCCCATAAAAAGCCACATAACGCTCATAGACATATCTATGAAATCCTCTTCACTACATCAAGAATTTAAAAGGCATAGGTTGATCCTAATAAATAAATGCAAACTTGAATTATCATAAAGCAGGATTAAACTTCCCACAACACCACCTTTTCTGACACCCTATTATTAAGAATACAGATACCCGTGTTTAGGAACTGATAGATAAATTCATTCTCATGAAGAAAAAATGTGATTTCAAGTCTGAAAGCCTAGCTAGCTATGAAGTAATACATCAGCATTTTTAGAGAGCATTCTAGTATCTGAATAAAGCCTTCTCTGATGGACATAGCGAAGATCAATCTTCTTAGCACTGACCAATTTTAACCGCTTCTAACAGCTTCCAATTACCAGCCCAAAGACATTAAAAGAGTATACTCAGTTTGGAAGAAAAATCAGAATCTTAATATCAATTTGTGTAACAAACAGATGACTTCACATTAACAAGGACTATTTGTACACTAGAAAGAGTTTTATACATTCAATTCAAGAAATGCAGTTGCTTCCTATTCTGAAGGCTAACGGCACTCAAAGTGGATCACTCAATAAATCAGCAAGGATGTTTTCAGGTTTTAGCTGTATTAATCTAGTTATGTGAGCTAGAATGAGTTGTTCAAGAAAAAAAAGCCCTAGTCTGATGGCTTATTTCACCTAAATGAAATGATGAATGAGACCTAAAACAGAAGAACAGAAACCTCTACAGAAGAACAGGTCTTGAGGTGAAATATATCTTGGCCCAAGCCTATCTGCAAACTATACTCCTTTAAAACATGGTGCATTTAACTCTGGGAACCATCATTACTGTTACCCTGCAGCAAGCATAGTCTGACCACAAGAATGTTAGGGTCTGTACTGAGCAGAAGGTGTTCCATATGAGTAGCAGTGCCTTCAGCTTTTAGGTTGAGCAGCTGTCCCTTTTGGGTATGTCAAGTGTTATCAGAAATTAAGTTTATGACACTTCTCTAATGGGGGATGTCAAGACTGTATCATTTTCCATTGACAGACAGCTGATTTTTTCCCTTTGATGCTGCGAGACAATTGAACAGTAGTGTTGGCAGCTGTTCTTCTGGGGATGGATCCAAGAAGATTATTAACTGCCCCAGTGTTCTTCTGGAACAGCAACAGTCATGAAGGTTTAGCTTATTGTTAGTTCAATTGACTCAACAAGAGGTCTTTTAGGATCACAGAAGATTAGAGCCCAGCTCCTCAGTGGCTGTCAATATCTGATCTGCTGTTTGGAACTCTAGCAAGTGAGACTCTAGCCTTATGTATCTAAAGAAATAAAAGGCAGTGAAAAAGAAACCCAACAAAAAATAATTTATATAATCTGTATTTTTCTTACTGAACTGGGATGTATAATGCTGAAGAGGGACTCTTCATCAGGGACTGTAGCAATAATACAAGGGGTCATGGGTTTAAACTTAAACAGGGGAAATTCAGGTTAGACATAAGGAAGAAGTTCTTTACTGTGAGGGTGGTGAGGCACTGGAACAGGCTGCCCAAAGAAGTGGTAATTGCAACATCTCTGGCAGTGTTAAAGGCCAGGATGGACAGAGCTTTGCACGATATGATCTAGTGTGAGGCATCCTACTCATGGCAGGGGATTGGAACTGGATGATCTTAAGGGATTTTCCAACCTTAACCATTCCATGATTTTATGATTCTATGATTCATTTTACCTCATCCTGTTCAAAATAGTTATTTAATGAAAAGTTGGAGGCAATCACAAATACATTCTCTGACAGTGATGTGAAGGATGAAGAAAGCCCTTCAGCTAACGATATGCCTGTGAACTTTATCTTTGAAGTTCTGTTCCTATAATTATGTTCTATCTTGCAGCAAATTCAAAGGCAGAAGACCTTCTTCTTCCACTCTTTTCTGGGTGTTGAATGGTTTATTAGATACGATGAATGCTGCTGACATTTTGTTCTTTCTTGTTTGGAGAGATAGGGTTTGGGGAGGGTTGGTTCTCAGAAGGGTCTGGGCATAAAGTCACGCTATTGCTAATGTGTAATGCAGTAAATGAGAGTCCTCCTTAGTTCTTTCAAAATTACTGGTTCAGACTCTCAATCTTTTAATAATTATGACATCGCAGCACTTCTGTTAACAGCTCCTGTCTGAGAGATGCAGCAATAGGGAAAAACCTGCATCTGGAGATATCAGAGTGACTCAGCAAGGTGACTCAAGAAACTAATTCAACTTGCCGGAGGAATTACCAATTATGAAAGCGACTGTCATGAGCTTCTGAAATGACATCTCCAGCAATTCAGCAGTGAACACAACCCTTGTTTGGTCTTTCTTTCTACGTGACCTGAAGAGAAATGCTGCACACTTAGTAGGTAACTTTTACTTAGGTATACTGAAATACGGGCAATAAAGTGCAGAATTTCTCATTTATAAATATGATAAAAATACAGTCTGATAACAGTTGTTTGTACCAAAGGTTTTATATAGGTCATCCTCAGTGCTCTGAAGAAGATTAAGGTCTCTGATCTTGTTTCTGTGAACATCTGCACTAACTTCAAGCATGTGAAAATTCTTCTAGCAACTGCAGCAGGTATTAAATCACTATCTTCTTTTTTTCAGGTTAAATCCCTTTTTCCCAGTGTATTAAAATTCTGCAACTTAGTCCAGCTCCATTCTGTCCAGCCTCAAAGGGAAGAGCTGAGATTTCCGTGTCCCAGAGCAGCCCTCAGCTGTGGGTAGGACACACTCCACAGGACGCAGTGGGGGGAAAGCAACCATGCAGAAATATTGTGTGGGGTTTACAGTTCATTTAATTAGCTTCATGGAATAGCAGTCTGCTTCCCTTGAAAGGTAATTCCACTGCTTTCCTACTGGCAGGAAAGAAAGAGTAGCAACAGAAAATTGGATGTGACAAGTTATCAAGGCTTTCCTCAGTGCATCAGAATGTGATGTTATTGCTTGTCAAGTTTAAAATGTTTTATCACTTTAAAAAGTCTGACAGTGTATTAATATTGTATTTTGTTACATTTGAAATGAAACTTAACACTGTAACCTGAGAGGGGATCACCTTAAAAAAAGAACAGAATTTTTAAACGGAAGTATAAAGAAATTCTAGGAAAGGCTTATAAATAACTTATAGGTAAGGCCAATACAATGTTATCTTTGTGTTACACATGTGAAGATTTCATGTATGTGTGTGCTTGTATAGAAAAAAATACATATATGACCTGTTGTATAATAATTATTACATTAAATATTATATCATAGAATATATTATAATTTTAATATTGTTAATATATAATTATATTATTATATTCATGCATTTTAAACATTATTCTATTAAATAAGCAGCTGAGGGGCTGATGTTGCAGCTGCACTCCCTGAGCCGGGAGAGGCACCAAGGGAGACCCCCTGCAGTCCTGATCCACCTCTGGGGCAGCGGCACAGGAGGGGCACAGAGCTGTTGGAGCGAGGCCAGAAGAGGCCATAGAGATGCTGCGAGGGCTGGAGCAGCTCTGCTCTGGAGCCAGGCTGAGAGAGATGGGCTGGGTCAGCCTAGAGAAGAGAAGGCTCCTGAAGGGGAGACCTTAGAGCAGCTCCAGTGCCTAAAGGGGCTGCAGGAAACCTGGAGAGGGGCTTGGGACAAAGGCCTGTAGGGACAGGCCAAGGGGAATGGCTTGAACCTGCCCGAGGGGAGACTGAGCTGAGCTCTTAGGCAGGAGCTCTTCCCTGTGAGGGTGCTGAGGCGCTGGCACAGGGTGCCCAGAGAAGCTGTGGCTGCCCCATCCCTGGCAGTGTTCAAGGCCAGGTTGGACACAGGGGCAGGGGTTGGAGCTGGATGAGCTCTGAGGTCCCTTCCCTAGAGCCTCATAGCCTGAAATTCCATAACCCTAACCCAGGGCTTCAGCACTAACGCGCACGCGCCCCCCCCCCCCCCCCCCCATGACACACACGTGTTCCCGGGCGCAGGCGCGTCCTGGGCCCATCCCGGCGCGGCTGCGCACAGCGGGGCGCGGCAGGCGGAAGCAGGAGTCGCAGCAGCACCGACTGAGGGCCGTGCTGCCCCGCCGCTTCCCTCCCGTCCGCCGGGCTGCCGGAGCGCCGTGGAGCCGCCCGCCGCCATGTCCAACATGGAGAGTATCCTCGGAGCGCGGGTCTCGGCCGTGCGCTGCGCTGGGGGCGGAGCCCCCTCGGTGTCCCTACCGCGGCTGTGGCCGGTCTCTGTTGGCGCTTCCTTGCGGGGGCCGGCGGCTGGCGGCCCTCAGGGCGTAGGGACCGCGGCTTGGGCCCGGCCTGGCGGAGCGGAGCTGGGAGCCGGCGGCACTGCGCCCGTGCTCACTGTGGGGCGGGGGGCAGTGGCGTGCGAGGCCGCTCCGCCAGGGGAGGAGCCCCCGATGTGCGGCAGGGAGGGGTGGGACTGGGGAACCGCGCCTTGTCCCTCATGGGGGCGGTGGGTGCGAGAGCGGGAAGGCCCAGTGGGGGCTTGGGCCCGCCTCAGAGGGGCTTTGCCGGGAGGAGAAGGAGGGGTTGGGCCGTGGGGGAGACACTGCCTGGAGACGTGCCTCGGAACCTGGGGACTGCCCTCCCTGCCTGGGGGAGAGGGGAAGGGGAAGCTTATCTTGTTTCGGCAAGGCAAGGTCAACAAGCGTTAGCGGGGGGCGAGAAGGGGGTGGCATCTCTCCCAGGCAGCACGAAATGACAGCCCGGTCCCTGTGGCCGAAAAGGGATTTATAGGGCAGAGTTGTGCATATTATGAACTGGGGACACCTGACTGCTATAGTGTATAGCCTGTGTATACAGGCTGGACAGATGTCCGCCCTAGACAGCAGCTGCTGCCAGCTGAACAAATCCTGCTGTGCTTCCTGGTGTTGAGAAGTTACACACAGGGAAAATCCTGGAGGGTAAATTTAAACGTTCTTGCTGTATAAAACTGCCTAATTGTGCAGGGGCAAAAAAGGCTTTAAAGGTTACGGAGGTCCTGATGGGGTTGAGGTATGCTGGCAAGTGCTCAGCATTGCTGTTGTGGTAGGGCCTGATGGAGAGCTGGAGCAGGTGACTGTGAGTCATGGTTAATGGTGGAAGTTCAAGTTCAGTTTCACTTGGCTTTTGGTACGTTGAGAAAGATGCTTCAAGGGAGGAGCAAGTGTGTGCTCCTGGTGGGAGGGGAGAGCTGCAGAGGTGACAGGGTGAACTAAAGCCGCAGGCTGGTGGCCCAAGTGAGTAACTGAGGAAGTTATTTCCAGATAAACTGTTCTGAAATGGTGTTTCAGTGTAATCGGTGTAAATAGGTGGTGTGATGTTTTACCTGGTTCTTCCAGTCTCTGACATGAAGTATGATTGAATAAACAATCTAAAGGTGTTTTCCTGTTTGTTAAATGACCTAATCTGTGGCTTACTGCAGTACACGTACTGCTGGTGAAAGGGATGGAGACTTAGGTTTTAAAGCAAAGAAATTGAAGTGCAAGCAGCAATTCTGGTGTTCCTGGCAGCTACTGTAACAGGTATCCTCAGTGTATGGGCAGAGCTGTTACTTTCTGTGGCCTGCTTATGATGTTTATAGGGTAACAAATACATCAGCAGGTTTTCTAATGTATTCAGGTTGCTGTCAGAGCTCCAAGATGTGTGGCTGGGCTTTAAAGGGAAAAAACAGTTCTGGAGTAATTTATATACTTGAAATATTAAAGAAACCACAAGTACTTCATAATGTTTAGCTTTATGTACTTCCTCTTAGCTGTTAAGCATTTGGTACTTGCTGCATCTTTCTCTTGGGATATCAAAAGGTGGCATGAAAGGAGCCTATAAAGCTTTGTACTTACTTTTTGTTTGAGAAAGACTGACCTTATTTAGAAGCTTTCAGCTGCAGCATTTCAAGAGTATAGTGTTTTAATTATTATTTTTACAGGAGATAATTTATTCCCTGTCAGCAACGGTTTCATGCACTAAGTTCTAAGACACTAAGAAGTTTTGTTCTATTGTTGTCTTAGACCTTTAAGATTAAGCAGGAGTTGAACTTTTTGAAAAGACAAGTTTCTCTTGCTTTGGTCTTCTTTCCCCAAAAGTCAGATGCCAGAGCTGCTGGGTCCCCAGAATTGCTCACATGACCCAGGCCTGGGAGGCTGCTCTGTGAAGGAGCTGCATCAGCTATTTAAACCCAAGATCATACTGTGGCTTCAAAGGGCAGCCCTTTCTCCTTCTTTGTACTGGGGCAGCCACCCCAGTTTGTTATTGCATGGCTATTTTATCTTCTTTTTCCTCAATGGCTTGCTTTTTCAGGTGGGGGTGTTTCAGGCAGGCCAGTGAACTGCACTTTCATATCTCTTGAGAGTCCAGGACTCCAGGTGTGTGAGTGAAAGTACCTTGCAGAGCAAGACTTTCAGTTCCTCTTGTGGGATATTTGGTTTGTTGTATTTATCAGTCGGAAATAGATTTGATTGTTAAAAGAGCCAGGTTGAGATCTGAACTTATGTTCTATGGCCTTACATTTTAGAACCCAGCTGATAAGTGGCATTGTAATAGTAAAATAGCTTGGTAGGTCTTTTTACTGTGTGAATTTCAGGGGCTTATTTAAGTAATATTTTACAAGTTTTAATATCACTAACGGGGAAAGACAGGTTTGGTAGCACTTCAAACAGGAGAGCAGAGTACTGTGATGAAAGTGTTGATCCTGTTCTTGAACCCTTAACTTGCGCTGCAGAGCATCTGTTTAATTTGAAGTTTGCTGCAAAGGAACTCAACAGGAACTCAAAAAAATGCGACAAAGAAGAAAAGGCTGAGAAAGCTAAAATTAAAAAGGTAAGCAGTGAGTCTGAAACAGATCTTTAGGTCTGTTTACAGATTATGGCAGGTTTTACCATTTTCCTGGTACACATGCTAATAATACCTTGGTAAATGTTTGTGATTTAAAATACATGATTATTAATCTTCCCATACTTAAGAAATACGAGGATACATTCTTAAGTGTCTTCTTGCACAGCTTCTGGTGTTTTCTTCCTGAGAAGATTGTTTTATGTGTTTTGTGAGAGACTGTTGTTCTCAAAGTTAAAAATGTTCAATCTTATTGTTTATCATCTTGTACTGAAAGGGTTTATGAAGAGGAACTTCAAAATAGTTTTTGAGTCCTTGGAAGTAGTAAAGATAGAGGCTAAATTTTTTTTTTTTACTATTTTTGGCCATTAGTTACAACTGTGCCAGCTGCATATTGTGTTTGGGTCTTGATACTGAAAACGTTTTTCGGAATGAGAAAATCATGTTCGTGTAGCTCTGTAAAGCCTCCTACTTGAAGTGCATGTCAGATACCATCCTTGAAAAGAAGTTAGGAGTTCACATCTTGGAAAGTCTGAGAACTTACAGGGAGGAAGGAGGGGTTTATTTTCTCTTTTAGTAGAAAAGACACTAATATAGTTGAAATATTAAACCACAAGTACTTCATAATGTTTAGCTTTATGGGCTTCTTTTTAGCTGTTAAGCATTTGGTACTTGCTGCATCTTAGGATATCAAAAAGTGGCATGAAAAGAGCTTATAAAGCTTTGTACTTCCTTTTTGCTTGAGAAAGACTGACCTTATTTAGATGCTTATTTCAAAACTAATATGGTACTTAGGAATCATGCTTACAGGAGCAGGGAGGGTTAAAATGCTTTTTCTTTTTCCTTTTTTCAGGCAATTCAGAAGGGTAACATGGAAGTTGCACGGATACATGCGGAAAATGCAATCCGACAGAAGAATCAAGCCATCAATTTCTTGCGCATGAGTGCCAGGGTAGATGCTGTAGCAGCAAGAGTTCAGACTGCAGTGACAATGGGCAAGGTAAGTCTGTTTTCACAAATCTATTGCGAGGATGAGACCTCTGATCTTGTAAGCGACTTAATTCTGTCTGTAATGAGCTGAGAAGTTTCAGTTTTGGTTTCAGATGTAGTCAGTAGTAAATCAGGTACTGGAATCACCCTGGCAGCTGCTGTTTAGGAGTAGATTGCTACCCACTATATTTTGTAGCTAGTAACTTCTCTTAGCTGTTATTAAGGAGACAGTGTGTTTTACTGGTTACGCTTCTGATTATTTTGCAAAGATATTGCTCCCCTTCCAAATACGTAATGACATGTTGTAGGACTTGTGACACCAGAGATTGTTTTTAGCTCAAGTAGTTTTTTATGGTAAACGGCTGTAGTGCTCTTCAACCAGAGGGTTTATTCTGTGATCTGTATACTAAATATATCCCTTAATATTGGTAGGTCTTGAGACCTAACAAGAAGTTAATGCCGTATACACCCAATTTTGTATTGAGTTTCAGCTCAGAATGCATATTTCAAGTGGTTGAATTAATTTACAGAATTTTAAATGTACGAGCTATAAAAAAAGTGGTGTTCTAGATGACAGTAGTGGGTGCCCTACTACTTGGTACTGTAGAAAGTCTGTGGGTGGAGATAAGAGAGCTTGGTAAGAAACTGCTCATTTTTCTTTCATTGTAATATTTTCCTTTACCTCATTTCAGGTAACAAAGTCAATGGCAGGGGTAGTTAAGTCTATGGATGCCACACTGAAGAGCATGAACTTGGAAAAGGTAAAGACAGACTTTTCTTGGAGCTGCATGTCAAAAGCAGAAAGGGCAACAGACTAAAAAGGGGAATTCCACTCAAGAGAAAAGGTTTTTGCAGTGGGGTAGATCCTAGACTAAGTTGTGAAGTCTTCATAAATGGAGATGCTCAGAACTTGGCTGAACAGGGCCCTGACAAACCTGCTTGAACTGCAGCATCAGATCAACTTCACACTTGACGTGGGGAGGGGGGCAAGCTTCTGATCTCCGAAAGCTGCCTGCCCTTGTACTGTGGTTCTCTTTTTACCAGTTGAGAGATACTTCTCTTTTGTTACCTGCAGAACATTGATTTGATGTTTTTTATAGATATCTGCACTAATGGATAAATTTGAGCATCAGTTTGAAACACTAGATGTTCAGACACAACAGATGGAAGACACAATGAGCAACACTACTACACTAACAACGCCACAAGTAAGATATTTTTTTTTCTAAGGTGATTTTAAATTTTGTGTCTAAATGTATGGAAATGTCTGATTCTCTCCTTGCTATCTACTTCGAGATGTAGCAGCAGCTGGAGCCTTTTCACTTTTGCTTTGTGCTTTTTTGTGGTGAAGTGAATATTGCAGATTATTGTCACAAGTAGAGAGGATCACATACATGTATTTTGGTCTATTTCACTCTTATAGCAAGCTTTATTTTATATTATATCTTGACAACCTTAACCCTCCTACTAAATAAGCAAAGTTGTGAACCAGAAGACACTACAGCATTAATTATCAAAACAGAATATGCTGTGGGAAAATGAATAGTTCTAACTTACTAATGACATGACATTAGTCACCACCAAATTAGTAGTGGTATATGCAATGGAAAGGTTGTTAATTACATACTTTCAGCTTGTGGGAGTGTGTTTACTAAAATAAATCTTTAAATAATGCTTGACATAGTTAAGAATTCCTAGCAGCTGTTCCCTTATTCTGTTCCACAAGGAACTAAACATGCTATCCTCACAGAAGTTTTGACAGGGAGAGAAATTTACTGGAGAGAGCGCTTTGTCAATAAATTAAACCTAAACCCAAATCCAGTAAACCAGATCTATTGGAGATGAGCTTTTTTCCATGTTGTGCAAAGCAGTGTTTTAATAGCTAATAATCCACACTTGCAATATTCAAGTATAAGTTTGAGGGGTTTTATGGATGAGTTTAATTCTTTGAAAGCTAGAGCTCATTATTTTGGAAGCTAGGGCTCAATAAATGGATTTTAACAGGCTGAGCACCTCTACTCATTATTTTTGAGTTCATACAGGCCCTTCTGGTGGTCTGTAAAAGGCATTTACCTTTTAATCAGTTTCGCTAAAGTAATCCCTATTCTCTTAAAATTTAACAGAAGAGGTTGTCATAAGCTACAATATGCAACAATCAGCTTTTTCTTCTTTGCTCTAGAACCAAGTGGATATGCTTTTACAGGAAATGGCAGATGAAGCAGGGTAGGTAAAATTTTGACTATTGTTTGATTAAATCTTGGATCCAGCAGTCCTTCCTGGTTAACTTCAAGGTCAGATACCCTTGTTTTGTATGGTTCTGTCTCTTGGAAGAGAAGACAAATCACTGGTTTTCTTTCATCTCTGGATATAATTCTTGTAATAGTTTAGTTGCTGGTATTTCATTCTGTTCTCACTCAGTGCTGCTGTGAGTGTCAGGATGCAAGGGTTATTGTGCAAAAGCCTAAAATCACATGTCATTTGTCATATCATGACATTTACTTGGATTGCCATTAGCAATCCTTGCTGTGTTTCTCCACAATTTTCTCTTTTCCCACCCCTCTTACCACATCAAAACTTCCTGTAGTTCCGCTCTCGTAAGCCAGATGTTGCAAAATAGGTTGTCATGACATATTTAAGCCTTTAGGGTTATACTGAAATATTTCAGAGACTTTTACTTGGCTTCCTGGTGACACAGAAGTTAAAACTGTCAGTATTGGCTTGAGCATATTTTGTCTTTCATAAGTATACCTTGTCTGATACAACTCTGTGGAACAGTTATCTTGCTCAGTCCTGATTGAGTAGAATTAATTGAGCTAATTCTAATTATAATCTAGGACTTTTCTTTGCAATGAGTCAAATTTATTGATGGAGTTGTCTAGCTGGAGTACAGCTTTCATGGGATGTGGGTGGCCTCATGCTCTCTCAGTATTCCTCTCCTTGTCAATTACTGTGCTTCTTCCTGTAGCCATGTATGCCTGACTTGGGATTTTTGTTTTGTTTCTCCTATTAGTCTTGATCTGAACATGGAACTACCTCAAGGACAGACAGGTTCTGTTGGTACAAGCGTTGCCTCAGCAGAACAGGTAAACATTTGATTCCATTGGAATCAGTATTTTCTGGAGAAATGTATTATGAGATTTAATGCTTCACTCAGTTAAAACAGGCTTGCTGAAGTGTAATTAGATTTAGCTGTCCCAAAGAAAAAGCATGTACTTAAAATAATCTTGCAATTAAAGTAACTTTAACAATGCGACTTTGACTTAAACAAAGTATACAACTGCTTTGTAAATCCAGAAAGTTTAGATGTTCCAGGTTTATTTTTGAATGGTTACTTCAGAGAGTTCCAAATGGTTGACTCTCCTGCCTACTCCAAAGTTAAGGAATACAGCCATCTCCTGTAGCACACGTAAGGAGTTTGGGTTTTTTTCCCTTTAACATGTGGAAGGTTGAGAAAGTCAGGGCTGTTCAGCCTGGAGAAGAGAAGGCTGCGTGGAGACCTCATAGCAGCCTTCCAGTATCTGAAGGGGGCCTATAGAGATGCTGGGGAGGGACTCTTCATTAGGGACTGTAGTGATAGGACAAGGGGTAACGGGTTAAAACTTAAACAGGGGAAGTTTAGATTGGATATAAGGAAGAAATTCTTTCCTGTTAGGGTGGTGAGGCACTGGAATAGGTTGCCCAGGGGGGTTGTGAATGTTCCATCCCTGACAGTGTTCAAGGCCAGGTTGGACAAGGCCTTGGGTGATATGGTTTAGAGCAAGGTGTCCCTGCCCATGGCAGGGGCGTTGGAACTTGATCTTAAGGTCCTTTCCAACCCTAACTATTCTATGATTCTACGATTCTAAGGTCTTCGGAAACTAATGTCTAAGATTCCACATTTGCTGTAGATGAGAGCTTAGTATTTCTTGTGCATGAGCAGATCCTGATGTCAGGGTTGCACAGATCTTCTGGTGAGTTGCTTTTCCCATTCTGGAGGCACACATTTGAGGGAATGAAAAGAGGAAAGTTTATTTCTGTCATCCTTTGTGGAAAAGGCGTTAGGGAACTTTATCTTAACTGACCCATCTTTGAGAAGCCCCACATATCCCAGGTTCTATTAACAGTTCAGTTTCACCTTGTACTAATTCCTCTGAAACAGACCACCTACTGTCACGCTGTAGCAGTTAAGTTGCATACCAGGCTTAGTCAGCCAAGCCAGCCAAGCCAAATAAGGAGGCATTCTGTAAGAGCTGTTTTGCACTTGCAAAGATGATACATACAAAAACCACGAACAAACCCAGCCCTATCTCTGCTTGCTGTGTTCTGAAACTCCTTCCTAGGTGTCTGCCACTGGAGATAAGGTATCTGTATGGACTTCTGATCTCACCAGAAGAGTGCAGTCGTTCTTAAGGTCTTAAGCAAATCTTTAAGTCTTGTGCATTAGAGGATTTCCTATTATCCAGACACAGGATTGCTTGACCGTTGCAGAACTTTTCAAAACTGAATTTTCATGTTACTGATAGCTGGTTTCTTTGTGTTTTACAATTCTGCAGGATGAGCTGTCACAGAGACTGGCCCGCCTACGTGATCAAGTTTAAGTCAAACAAAGCTGCAGTTCTTTTTACATGTTTTCAAAACATCCTTTCTGTAGCTGTTCTTCACTACACAAGAGAGGTGTATACAGTATGGCTTAGGTATTTGAATACTTGTAATATAAGGTTCTTCACTCCTAGCTTGCTACTGTTTCTAAAATACATTAAGTAACCCAAATATATCAGCTCTTTAATGTCCTTTCCTGTACATTTTGAAGTTGATATATTTTTGCAAGCTTTTTTCAGAAAAGCAAGTTGATGTTTTAAGCCAGCTGGTAATGTTGATACATTTTAGCTAAAGGAAAAGCAGGGTGTCATTGATAAATACTCTAAATTATGAAGTGATTTTGTTTATGGTTGGAGAACTGATGTATTCAGTTCAGATGATAGTTGTTAACTTTCTTACACAGCCAAACCCCTGGAACATGCAAAGGTAGACAGTGTAGACTTAATGGAAAATATGCTTGTTAAATCAAATACTTTGAGGTTTTTAGTCATTTAAAGTTAGGGTAATTGTGCTGAAATTAATGGTTTAGTTAAAAAATGAATTATAAAAGCTGTTTTCATATAATTGGGAACTTGTACAGTGTAATCACTTCAGTACAGGAGGAATAAAATATATTTTTCAACTCTTTGTCAGTTCTGTTGAATGTTGCAGCTTGCTTGTAGAATAATGTCAAGTGCTATAGGTTCCTCTTTTTGCTTGCTTCTCAGCATCCTGGGGTGCAACCAGTTATGCCACTCACACCTCTTTTCTATCAACATCTGATTCCTGTTAACAGGGAGCTAATGGTGTTATGTCACTCACACCCCTTTTCCATCAACATCTAGTTCCTGTTAACAGGGAGCTAATGCTATCTGGTTTTATAGATTTGAGCTCAGAAGCCATGTATGAAATAATTGAAGCCTGCTTTTCTCCATTCCTTCTTACTCTGTCTTTGCTTTTAATCTTGTCACTTCTTTATACATAAGGACAAGTCTTGTGATCATGTTCTATGCTTCAGTGCTTTTCCATACCTGAAAAATATGGGAGTGCTCTTCCTCAGGTTCAGATCTTCAGTCTCCTTTAGCAGTTGGGTTCCAACCCTGTCTTGTCCAACCAGAAGACCCTTAGATCAGCTTTTCCTCTGCACTTTGTATCAGGTGAGATGTGGATGAGTGGCACAGGCCAGCTCAGTTGAAGGGGGTTAGGTTGCATTAAGAACAGCTATTATACCTCAGTTTTTGAGGTACAGTATTGCTCTCTGCAGATAAAATAACATCATTTGTAGTATTGTGGTTGTATGGAGAACCTAGTTTAGTTTTAGTAATACCTTTGTATTTCTGCACAGTTAAGAGAATCTACTGGCTTCTTTCAGTAGCTTCCAACACTTGCTGCAGTTGTGAATAAATGATTGTAGAAATCTGTAGCTGAGACTGGTCGTGATGTGTTGTGATGAACAGTGATGCTAAAATTTCCTTTCTGACTTTTGAGGCTTATTTTTTTGTTCTGTCCCTGTAGGGGTGAGGGAAGGTGTAAAGCACGGGACTTGGAATTAGTTCTGAATTCACTGGTGTTCAGGATCACTTGGAATTCCCAGTGTTGGGAAGTATTTAAGAAAAAAAAACCCATACTTTGCTTTTTTTAGTTAAGCAGGTTTTTTTTAGTGAAAATATGCAAAACTGGTGAAACATTTCAGAACAGTTTCAAACTATGTTTTGAATGTGCTTGTTGAATAAGGTTTAGAGAGATGTTACATGCTGAAGTATTCAAGGCTACTGTAAAAAGATAAGGAAACCAAGATAGACAAAACAGCCTAAAATGCTGTGGAATTCTCTCTCACACTGGCAGCCTAAGCTAAACCAGTTTGTTTCAAATGTGGTCCTTTCACTTGTTTATGTTCCCTTTCAATGCAGCCTTCTTTTCAATGCCTTGAATATTTCTCTTATAAATAGGAGGAATTGGAAGATGTTTAAAAGTGCTGTGCTCACAGCTGTAATCTTGGTAAAATCCTTTCAAATTATTAAAAAGCACCGTAGGAAAGGAGCTATATACTATATTTATCCCCCCCCCCCCCAAGGTCCTTCTGAACACTATAACAATACCATAGTGGTGTATCTATGCAACCAGGTTACCCCCATCTGGGTAACTGCTTGTGTGTGTGCCTTTGCCTTGCTGAATTTCGTTTATCCTTTTTTTTTTTTTAACTCAATTACTTCATCTCATTAGAGGATTGGAAACTCACTGTTGTGTAATAACAGCTCCACACCTCAGTTCACTTTGTGTTTGCTTATGGATCCAGCTGTACTATGAAGTCCTGAGGTTTTCACTGCTTAATATTAGACAGCTTCAGCTTGCTCATCAGGCTCCTGCTAATGTTAAAGCTTATGCTGCCTTCAGACTGTTCCTGGCCATTCTTAAGCTGTTTGAGGAGGCAGACAGCAATTCTGAGGTTCCATGCGGTTCGTTTTCTGAGTATGTTACCTTGCTGTGAGCCTTGGGGCTTGCCTTCGGAGAGTTTAAAAATAGAGGGAGATGAGACAGATCAGACTGCTGCAAGGCAAATATTAAATAAGCTTCATTATCTTACTGGCTATACACAGCCTCTTCTGTGGTTTTGATCTCATTTCAGGCTTGCAAATTCCAGTACCCTTCGAAGGGATTGACAAGTAAACATATGTACTTGACTGACACAATTAATGTTACCCCAGCGGGACTATGATGCAAAGAGGTAGGCAGGCTTAGGTGACTGGGGGAAGAAATAACGTCTGTGAAAGAATGAATTTGGGCCCTGCTGACTTCACTCGAGAGATGCTGCGTATTTCAGCAGCGCCAGGGTTTTGTGTTGGCTGCTTCTGTGTGTAGAACTCCTGCCCTCTCCTGGAAGAAACCGTTTCTCCTTAGAAGCACTCGTGTCAGTTGGCATTCGGGAAGTTTTAACAGTTATTTTGTGAATATGTATATTTTGTTTTTCTCAAGTCTTTTGGAAATGCTTGAAACTAAAAGTTACTCTTAAATCAGTGTTTGAGTTTCATATCCTTCCTCCATTCAGGCTCTCAAAACAATGGCTCTTTTATGACAGCCCTGGCTGCTCACTCCTGTGTAAGTTGTCTGTGTTTGTAGAAGTTCATTTCATGGTAAATAAATAATGTGCACTTTTATGTAACCTTGCTACCAGATAATATTTCAATATTTGTTCTCATGAGCAGGGACATCTACAGTGAAACACTGCTTGAAATGTTGAAAGATGGTTTCGCTTGATGTTTTTTTCCTTGGTTCCCAAAGCTGGTTGTGTGTGGTAGCATTAGTCTTCATTCATTTGAATTCCAGAATGAAAAGCCATGAAGAGCTCCAGATGAAAGCAGAAGGGAGGAAAAGAACAACTTGAACTTTCTCAGTTGCAGTGGGATAAAGTGATCAAGTTGCCTTTGTGGAGATCCTCAGAGCCAAAAAATAGCGACATCTTGTTAAATATAATTAGCAGTTGTGTACAGAGATAAATTCTGAAACTGGTGACATGTATAGAAAGGAGAATAATTTTTGTAGCTCGTAGACTTCATTTTGAAAACTGCTTTACTTGTAAGGGACAATTTGTAAATGTAACTTCAAGTGGTCAATAAAATTGTACAGCCTACTTCAGGTGTGTTCCTGGGTTGTGTGGCTCTTTCCTGGTGCGTCTTGGGCCCTGGGTAAACAAGTAGATGTCATCATTACTTGCTGTGAGATGATGATTAGAAATTTAAATCTTCATGGAGAGAAAGTAAGAAGTAGTGGGGGTGCTATTGAGAAAGATTTGGGACAACAGTAAGTGGAGCAATATAAAATATGATCTACTTAAAATTGATTGAGTTTTTTATGTTTAGTCTGTTATGTAGTGTATCCCTCACGCTTAAAAATCGAAGAGGGTTTTCTGCACTTACCTACATATATAAGGGGTCGTGTGGGAAGCTGGCAGGAGCTGGTGTGGGTTTGAGTTAAAACTCCCGTCTTTCTTTTCCCCATCCACTGTATTTTGGAGCCAGCAGAGGGAGCCTGAAGCTTTGTTTTTGCATAGGTCCTACACAAGTTAACTACTGTAATTCTTAAAGCAAAGAGGACTACTAGAGAGTCCTTGCTAGCTGGTTTAAGGAACTGTCTCTCCTGTGGAACCCGTGGTTTTGGGCAGTATCCAGTCTCTGTAGATGTGCCTGTATCAGGGCTTTGATCCTCACCTAAAAGCTGCTCTGTTGCATGAAATACAACACGTTGGAACACCAGGAGCACACTGCCATGGGCTCATCTGTGTCAGCCCCCAGATACCTTCACTAAAGGTGCTAAAAAGCATTTGTTTGATGTCTTTAGGCATTTATTTGGGACTGTGAGATCTACTGTAAGTAGTGAGATGACGAGCAACATCATGCTTAAAACTTGTTTGAAATTGTTTAATGTTTAGTTAAGTTCTCTTGTGTTTCTTTAGCTCTTGTTCCGGTTTTGTTCCGTGGTACTACTTTTACTTTATACAGAAGGGAACACACATGTTGTGTATGGATGGAAAATGCACTTTAATATCAAATTTAATTTTCTTGTCAGAAGTGTTGCCCACGCTGAGGTTTGATTTGGTGAAGTATTCACTTTGGTTTCAGGATTCTCTGTCCGTGCATTGTGCTTTTAGCTTTAGCATTAGCATTCATGTCGTGCAAAGGTCTGGTTTGAGCTAACGGCAGCATGCTGCTCAGGACTTCCCTTTTTGTCAAACAATATTTTTCCAATGAAATCCCAAGAAGGGTCAGTGGCCTCACTTGTATCGGAAGCAGCTCTCTTCATTACCATTCAATAGAGGAAAAGACCGATGCGAACAGTCTGTAACTAATTTCAAGTGCTAATTGAGCCTTCTTAACTTGGAAGAAGATTCAGTGAGTCCCAGAGGCTCTCGCTTGACCTTTACTATTTTTTATTAAGAAAGTGCTGAATCAGCTGTGATACACGGTTCAAGATAGAAAATCAATGGAAAATAGAAATTCCAGCTCTTCCCAGTTTTTTGAAAGCTTTCCAATATCTTCCAATGGTGCTGGTTTCCATGCATGCAGCATGCAAAGCAGCAGGAACCAGACCATCTTGCAGCAGATAGGCTGCCCTCAAGCTCTTATCTAGATGAGGGTGATTTGGGGGAATGAAAGTACTTCAGTATCACATATGTCTAATTTAAGATCTGTGCATGTTGCCGAGGATATTCTCAACT